GATCTCCAGATTATTACAATGCTCGGTATTAAAGTGGCCCTGAGCAAGCTTTCAAAAGGAGCCTAATAAAAATTGATCTGCCCTGCTTCTGCAGCGCTTGGAAAATAGGCTCGTAGAGCGGCCGTAATATCGGGAGAAGGCTCCCTCCGAAATGACAGATGAAGTCATAAACAAGTTTGATCTCGGAATCAAGCTTCGATAAATATTAAACACGGTCCCCTTTCCACGTGTGGATTATGATATATGGCACGTCCAAACTTTAAAATAAGGAAATACCAGAGAAAATGATCTCGATAAATTTTCTAAGTATAAACGTTGATTATGTTTCGATTTTCATTCAAGAGCCTCTGCCGCTCGTTTTTTGGCGCAAATGACATCTCGCAATGGGCTTTTGGGGAAAAGGGCTCCTGTTTGAGAAAGAGAGCCCTAGAGGTGTACAATTTATGTAATCTGCGGCTGGAAAATGAATTGTGTAATTTATTGGAAAACAGAAAGTCGCGAAGATTGGATCAGCATAGCCTATCCGAGGGCCCCTATCCATCAAGTTCCAATTAACAACCTAACCAGAGAGCTTTAATGTGTTTCCAATCTAGTGGCCTGATAGACTCATCAATTCCTCGGGGAGAAATTAAGAAAATCGACCGCCCCTTGGCGTTGTAGTGTCATTCCTTTCTGCAACTATATGTCAAATTAAAAACACAATTAAAATTTAAACTGTTTCAATCAGAGGGTGCCCTGCAACCTATGTTTCACTTAATAGAACTTTGATGAAAATCTGATGGTTCCACTCCATCATGAAAGCGAATAGAGCCGAGGAGTGCGAGAGATCCTTTCTATTTATTGAAAACGCGGGGCCCGACGGGCTCCAGGTGAGCGCACGGCGAGGATCGGGGCTCTGCCCGGCGTTGCGGGCACACGGACGGGGCGGGCAGAGCGGAACGGACGGGGACGGAGCGCTGCCTGTTCCCGTGCCCCCACCTGGGAACGTTGGAACGGGATGGGGAGGTGGTGCGCGGGGCAGGGCTGCACACCTTCCCCATCGATACCCACGCGAATCCCTCAGCAGGGCTCAACGCGGGGATGCGGCCCCTCGAAGCTGCCCTGCGTCGCTCCTTCCCCACTTTTCCTTATGTAAGAGTTCTTTTGCCGCACGCTTTTCAAACGTTTCCAACCCCCGAAGCTCTCTCTGGGGCCCGGACTGAGCTCCGGGGATCCCTCGGAGGTACGAGAGAGGCACAAGGTCACCAACAGCACCCAAAGAGCGCAGGAACAATAGATTCATTGGAAACGATATTTTACAGACGTGCCGCGATCAATAGGGACCGCAGCATTACGCCGTGCCAATCTGTTAATGCTCCTAATGGTCTCCTCGTCCCGTTTGCGCGCTACGCGGAGTCGATGGAGCAAAGCGATTATTACAGAGATACTCTCGGCGTTTTTGGGGAGGGAGGGAGGGGGGGAGGGGAAAAAAAGAAAAAAAAAGAAAAAAAAGAAAATTATCCCCAACCCCACGCGTTTATTGTGCTGTCGGGCCGCGGGATTTTCCCACGGAGCAGAAAGAAACGCATCTGCGCAGCGCATGCAGCGGAATTCGGAAACCTTCGGAGGAAGGAGGAGGGGAAAAAAAAAGGGAGGGGGGAGAAAAGGCAAAAAACGCCGTTACCGATTACCGACCTCCCGGAGGTGCTCGGAAGAAGCGGAGCGCCGCCCCGCCCGGTCCTTGCGCAGCCCGCGGGAGGCAAAAGTCGTCTGATCCCCAAAATGCGGCTGTCGGGAAGTTTATATCCCCCCCCGCGCTGTTTGCAGTACACAGCCAGCCGCTATTTACTACCAAATAAAAGAAATACATGGGTGTTTGTAGCACAAACACGGCTCCGCTCGGCGCGGAGCTCTCGGTGCGGACAAAGGCGCAGAACTGCGGAGCGGAGCGCGGCCGCTGCGGCGCAGAGAATGGAGGAGAAGTTCGGTGGCACCGCACCGACACCCCCCCACACACACATACACACGTCTTCCCCCATTCCCCCGCCTTGTTCGGTCTCCCAAAGGTGGTTTTTTTTCACCCTCCCTCCCCTCCCCCGAAGGGTTTCTCGCAGCCGTCGGTGCGCCCGAAGGGAGAGGTGACAGAGCTCCACGGATGGGTGCGGGGACACCTGGGGAGGTGTGGGTGTCTGCGGGAAGGAGCGGCCCCAAAAGGGCTCTGCCAAAGGAAAAAGTGTCCCGGCTGCAAAGCTATCCCGACTCTGTCGCTGCTCGCAGCCCCGCAGAGATATTTCCCTTCGCCCCACAGCCTATTCACTGCTGTCGGAGGGGGAGAGAGGGGTGGAAAAGCTGAGCTCACGCTTTTTTCTGCTTTATATTTACTTTTCTTTGCCTTCATTCTTTTTTTTCTTTTTCTTGTAGATTTTCGTTTCCCTCTCTCCCATTCTTTCCCTTTTATTCCCTTTCTATTTGCTTTTCTTTTCCTTCTCTTCCTTTCCTTTTGTATCTTCTTTTCCTTCCCTCCCGTTCCTGCTGTATTTTCTTTTATTTTCCTTCAACCCTTTTCCCTTCATATTTTCTTCTCTTTTTTCTTTCCTTTTCCTTTCCCCTCCCCATCTTTGTTTTCCCCTCCTCTCCCCCCCCCGCCCCCTAAGAACTACAGCCCGACCCCAGCGGAGCTCACAATGCGGAGTAGCCGCTCTCGCACCCCCCTCACTCGGGGATGGCCGGGGCAGTCCGGAGTCGTTCGCTGCTCCCCGACCACAAATAAGCGACAGCTTTCCCCCGCCGCTCGATAACATCGCTCTATCGCGTATAAAATGGAAAAAGATGTATTTGCAATCACAACAATATTTTTAATGAGCTGCAAACGACTTGTCCCAAAGTTAGCAGTGCAAACACAAAAGGCATCACTCTGTTTGCAGGAGACACAGCGAGAGCCGTATTTTGGCTCCGACCCTCTGTTTGTGTTCCGTTTACGACCCATCGCATCGGGTTTGGATCCCAAACGAAAGAAAGGCGCGGAGCTCTCCGCCCGTAGAACGGAGTTTTATTTTGATTCCTTCGCCCCCCGCTCCCGCCCTGGGCACTATAAACACATCGGGTGGGGCAGATCTGAGCGAAGATTTGTGCCGCAAATAACCGTGCGGTGTGTGTGTGTGTGATGGGGGGGAGGGGGGCATCCCGAGGGCAACAGCGAGGGGGGGCCCGCAAGGGAAAGGTGCGGCATCCCGCAAGGAGTTGCTCCCACAAACAGCGTCCCATCGCTTCTCCCCCCACAGCTTCCCATAGTGCCGTCCAGATGATGGAGGATGGGGGGGATCGCATCGAGCCGGGACCCCCCCACATCCCCCCGGGTCGGGACACGTCGGGGCCGGACTCACCGCGGTGCCCCGCAGAGCCGCCCCCACCCGCCCGTGGGAGCCCCTCCTCCCGTTCTGGTGGTTGTTTGGCATCTCTGTTGTTTTGGTGTTGTTTCCTTCGAAGAAACGCTTCAAGAAAGAAATAAAAATAATAATAATAATAAATAAATAAACGCTAAGGAACGGGTTTTATTATTATTATTGTTATTATTATTATTATTATTATCATTTTCCACCACAACATTCAGTTGATAACAATATAGGCTGTAAAAATAGGACCGATCCCTAACAGAAAGCAAAGGGAGGAGGTGGGGAGGGGGGTACAACCGAGAAGGGGGAGCGTGGAAGGGAAGCGAAATAAAAGCAATGAGAAATCCGAAAGGAAAAGAACGGCGCCCGTCCCAAACCCTCGGAAAGAAAGGCCGACAACGGGGGAGAGCCGCGGGGTGGGAGGGGAGGGGGAAGGGGGGCCGTCCCGGTTCGGTTCTGCCCGCGGCCCCAGAAGGAGCTCAGAATAAAACTGCGACATCGGAGCAAAGAAACGAAAATCCCCCCTTAAAGTTGATTGTCCTTCACTGATAGCGCCCGGCCCGCCGAACCGCCCGCATTGCTCCGCTGGGCCGGGAGGGTGCGGAGCTCCACGCCTCTCCCTTCGCTTCCATCTATTGGATTTTATTGTATTCTTATGAATTATTCTTCTTCTTTAATTTTATTTCGTACAACACGAGCGAAACGCAGTTATACAAGGCTAACCCCCCCTCCTCCCCCCCCCTCTCCTCACCCCCTCAGGTAAAAGCAGTGCTTCGAGAATCGTCGTACAGTATTGCACAGTTCAAAAGTACAAGAATAAAAATAAGGATTCATCATCACCATCATCAATCAATATTACAAAAGGAACCCAAAGAATACAGATGTTCCCCCTTTTTTTTTTTTTTTTTTTTTTGCCCCAAATACCGAAATAACATTACAAGGAAAAAAAAAAAAAAACCCGAAAAACAACCAACGAAACAGCAAAAAGAAAAAAAAAACAAAGAAACAAAACAAAACAAAAAGTCAACCCAAAACAACGAGCAGGAAAATAGGAACGGGAATCCGACAGAAGAGTTCTGATACCCGAACAGAGCGGCCATCCCCGCCCCCCCTCCCGGCTGTGCCCCCCGCGGCACAACGCGGTGAGGTCGGAGCAAAGCAACGCTCCGAGAGGGACGGAATGATAGAATTCCTCATTTTATTATTATTATTATTGTTATTATTATTATTATTAATTTTTTTTTTGGCTTTCCCGATTTGGCAAATCTCGAGGAGGAGGAGCGGCGTGGGATCTTTTTTATTATTATTATTTTTTAATTATTATTATTATCTTTTCTTTCTTTGTTTGTTTCTTTTTTTTTTTTTTTTTTAATTTTTCTTTTGTACAAAAATAAACCTAAAGCCACAGAGACCATCGGCGGTTTGTGTTCGCGGTTACAAAAGGTGTGACAGCCCCGGGGTGCCCGCTTTCGTTTTCCTTCCCCCCCTTCCCCACTTTTGCTCCCTAATTATTTTCTTGTTACACTTTTTCATTCTTTCCTTACCCTCCCCACCCCCACCGCTCTTTAGCCTCCCCCCCTCCCGCTCCCCTCTCTCCGGCTATAGGGCCGCAGCGCTACTTACGGGCGGCTCCGCGCCGCTCAGCGCGGGGCTCAGACGGGCCGCAGGAGCGGTACGGAGGTGACCACGGGGTGGGAGTAATAAACGGGGTGGGGGAAGGTGAGCAGAGGCTGCGGGCCGGGACCGCCGCCTCCAGCCGCGCTGCTCTCCGCGCCCGAGTTCTCGTGGTAGAGGATGGGGACGCGCACGATGCGCTGCGCGGCCGCGTGGCTGAGGTTGGCCGCCTCCAGCTCGGCCGCCAGCTGCCGCTTCCACTTGTTGCGGCGGTTCTGGAACCAGATCTTCACCTGGGTCTCTGTGAGGTGCAGCGAAGCGGCCAGGCCGGCCCGCTCCGAGCTGCTCAGGTAGCGCTTCATGTCGAAGGTGGACTCGAGCTGGAAGACCTGGCTGCGGCTGAACACCGTGCGCGTCTTCTTCTTGCGGCACGGCTTCTTCTCGGGGCTCTCCTCCCGCTTCTTCCAGTCCTCCGCGCCGCCCTCCTTCTTCCCCTCCTCCGAGTCGCTCTCCTCCAGCACGATCTCGGCGGGGCTTTTGGGGTCCCGCTCCTTCTGTTCCGCGTCCCCCCCCTGGAGCAGCGGCTCCGGGGAGTCCCTGTCGGTGCCCGACGCGGGGGACGAGTCCCGCAGGAGGGATTTCTCCGCGGCTGAACGGGGACAGAGGGACACAAAGAGACACCTTCAGCCCCGAGCTGCCCCCCGACGGGCCGCCGCCGCCCGCCCGCGGTGCCACCCCCGTCCCGTCGGGGATGGAGAGATGGAGGGGACGGATGGGAGGACGGAGGGACGGATGGGAAGGAAGGAGGGACGGAGGGTCGGAGGGAGCGGTACCTTCGGTACGGGGCAGGTGGGCTCCGGCCGGCGTCAGCGCGTAGGGGTACCACCAGGTCTGGGCTCGCTCCAGGCAGTGCGCGCTCAGAGCGAAGCGCGGCGCCGGGATCTCGAAGCGGGGAAAGGAGAGATCTCCCACCTGCGAGAGGGCGAAGCCGGAGCCGTCCGCTTTGCCCGAAGGGGCGAACAGAGCCCTCGGCTGCTTGGGGGCCGCTTTGGGGGGGTCTCCGTTGAGCAGGTTCTTGATGTAGAAGGATTCCTTGGGAGGGGGCGGCGGCGGCGGGGCGCTGGGCGGCTCCTGCCCGGTCTCCGGCATCCTCCGCTGCCCGCCCGCTTCCTGCCCGCCGCGGGTGGCGGCTCCCGGCGGCGCGGGGGAGAGGCGCGGCGGCGGCGCGGCGGGGGAGCGCGGCGGGCCCGGCCGGGGGCCCCTCGCATGGGGGGGCGGCAGCGCGGGGGGCCGAGGGGAGCCGAGCGGCACCGGGCAGGCGGAGGGAGAGCCGCGCTCCTCGCTGCCGCCGCCGCTCGTTGCTGCGTCAACCCGGCGCCGGATGCTAATGATGAAATCAAAATGTCATCCAAGTTAAACGCGGGGAGCACGCGGCGATTGGGCACGCACGATGGCAAATGGGATTAGGCGGGGAGGCGGCCGGGAGGAGAAGGCTCCGCGCAGCCCCTGCCCGCAGCGCCGCGGCCCCGGCCCCCCTGCGACGTGCGCCGCCGCGGCGGGAGGCTGCGAGCGCCCGCCCGATCGTTATTGGCTCGGCGGAGTCCAATTAGGCAGCAAATGAGGACGGGGCTATTAGCACAAAGGGATCCCGGCTCCGCCGAGGCACCGCGGGAGGCGAATGGCACGGGCCGCGTCGCGCCGCCACAAAAGCGGCCCTCGCCCCGCCGCGCCGCCGCCCCGCCCCGCGTCCGCACCCACAAAAGCCGCGGGCGCAGCCGGGCCGCCCCGAGCAGCTCCGGGCCGAGCCGCCGAGCCGCGGGCCTGACGCCGCTCCGGCCGCCGCTCCGCCAACTTTCCGTGCTGAAACGGCTCGGCGGCCGCTGCGCGCCCCGCACGGACAGACCCCGACCCCGACCCCGACCCCGGTCCCGACCCCTCCGCCCCGCTGCGCACGCGGCGCCCTCTGCCGGGACCGGGAGCGGGAGGACGCGGTCCGGGCTGCGCCGGGTCTGCTGCGGGGATCGGCACTGCGGGGCACTGCCGGGCAGGGACTGAGCTGGGACGGCCTGAGGGCAGCGGGATTCGTGTTGGGAGAGACGTCGGGGAAGGGATGGGGAAGGGAAAGGAAATGGGAAAGGAAAGAGGGAAGAAAAAGGGAAAAGAAAGGAAAGAAAGGGAAAAGGAAAGGAAAGAAGGGGAAAAGGAAGGGGAAAAGGAAATGGAAAAGGAAGGGAAAAGGAAAGGAAAAGGGGAAGGAAAGGAAAAGGGGAAGGAAAGGAAAAGGGGAAGGAAAGGAAAAGGGGAAGGAAAGGAAAGGGAAGAGGAGAGGGAAAAGGGAAGGAAAGGAAAGGGAAGAGGAGAGGGAAAAGGGAAGGAAAGGAAAGGAAGTGTAAGGGGAAGAGGAGGGGGAAGAGGAAAGGAAAGGGAAAGGAAAGGAAAGGGAAAGGAAAGGGAAAGGAAAGGAAAGGGAAAGGAAAGGAAAGGGAAAGGGAAGGGAAAGGAAAGGGAAAGGAAAGGGGAAAGAGAAAAAGATGAAAAAAAAAGAAAGTAAGAAAAGAAAGAAATAAGGAAATAAATCAATTGTCCCAGCCCCTCAATTCCAGTGTGCTCTAAACATTTGGGACACACATGCACATCCACTGCACACATCTCTCCTGGCACAGGAGCTGTAGATCTGAAGGTGGGTGTACACAGCTCTACCTGTAAATGTTTTAATGCCCTGATCAAATAGAATGGATTTCTGGTGCTCCTGCTGCTGTTCCCTTTCAAAGACATGCACCTGCAATTCGAAATAACATCTTTTATCTGAACCAGATCTCTCACCAGCTGTGCTTGCAAGCTCTCTTTGGGAATTCTGCATCCCCCAGAATATTTGGGGTCATGAATCCAAGGAAAGCTCCCACACACCCAACCATGTGACATTTTGGGCTACAAGAGTCGTATTACAGATTGTGCACCCTCAGCATATGTGTCTTTTTCAGAATGCCATGCCTTATGTGACCATTTCCAACCATTCCTGTCATGGCAAGGAGCAGTTCAGATGAACAGAGAGGCGCAGAAATAGAAGATGATTGTATGATTTCTGATCCTAAGATCAGCAAAGCACATCCTGAGGGTGGAGAGTCGTCCAGGTACAGAAGAATGTAGGAATACTTTCTTCCTTTAAGCATCTGTTTCATTTAAAGGCATCAAAGTAAAGCTTATCAGGAATTTGTCAAAGCAAGTCTGTTGCAGGGGGGATATTCCTCGGTCCTGGACTAAGATGCACGGGCAGGAAGTGATGCAGGGGGCAGCTCCAGGGCAGGACTGCCAGCTCCTAACCCGCCTGTGGTCCCTCATGGCCAGCAATCACTCACAGGGCAAAGCTGAGCAGGAGAGACAAACCGAGACGGTCCACGATGATGCTACAAGAAACAGTCACTTTGCAGTTCTTTATTCTGCAGCAAAAAAGGGGAGAAAAAAAAAAGAATCTTTCTGTATCCCTTTCTATGTCCCTTTTTGTGTCCCTTTCTCACCCATTTTTTTTATTTATGCCCCCCAGCAACAGCTGCACATGAAGCCCGATGCTGACGGACCCATCCCTGAGCCCAGTGGGTTTTGCTGCAGTCTTCCTTCTACTTTTGTTTCTAAACCCACACTCATCCCACTCCATTGTAAACAGATGATTATTATTTCATTAGTGTTCCAATTCAGAATTAATTGGCTAATTTACACATGGATCAATTGTATAAATGCGATGTTGGTGATAGGTGCTTGATATGATTTAAAGTAATTGTTTATTTTCCAGGTTTGGCTTGCATTGTATTGCAAAGTGATTTATCTCCTTATTTATCCTGTCTCAGTACCGCCTCTTCTTTTTCATTATTTTTCTAAAGAGATGCACTCCTGCTAAGCTGAAGCATGAAGCTGCGCCATGATTTCTGTAAGCTTTGCATCTGCTTTTCCTCTGGCAGGAGCTTTCTGACAGCAGCAGGACTGTCTGCACAGCCAGTCCCGTGCTCTCCTCCAGTGCTCTGCAGCGTTTTGCCCCACGAGTGTAAGGAAACAACCATCCATCAAAGCAGTATTTAATTTTGTGGCGAGCTTTACACAATTTCTTTCATTGGGAAGTGCCTCATAGCATCGGGTTTGGACGTTCAGGGGAAGGAAGGAGATGAGAACGCAGTTAGCAGTTTGCCCCATGCAGATATATTACTTACTCAGGCAATTGAAATGAATTCTCCTGCTATCAGATTGCAGAGCTGCCGTTCCGCTGCCCAGGCAGCTAAAAACAATTCTGTGAGTGCCAAAGATTAACTACCACAGACTTTGAGCCACGAGCGATGGCTCTCCCTTTCCTATTGCAAATTGTTACACACCATCAGGGCTGCCGTAAAATCCGAGTTATTCAGAAACACCCCATTTCTCTGCCACTCTTTCAATTGCTTCTTGGTGGAAACAAGAGGTTACCCAGAAAGCGGATGCTACTTTCTCATCACAAGAAATGCCTGCTGCAGGATGTGTTTGATAAGGATGTTTTATTCAAGGCTGGAGAAACTGCAGGCGAGTTATGCTTGGTAACCCAGCTCGGGTTTTGCTTGGCTGAGTACAGAGGAGTGTATGCAGTGTGCATGGAGCAGGAGGTATTTTGGAACAGTTAAAGCTGTTCCCTTATTATGCCTTACAATGGCATTTTTGTTCCTTTAAATTGAAGGCCTTGCAAGTATCTGCTTTCTGGTGGTTTCCTGGCAAGCCGAGTGTCTTTCCTGACAAGTATTAGAGTTTCCATTCTGAACCTGATTGCACCGTTAATTTGTGAGACTTTTATTCTGAGGCCCATCACAGCCCTGTCTCTGACTCACAAAGATATCATTTTTACAGGAAAGAGGAACAATTTCCAGGTTGTGACGTTTCCGTGAAACAAGTTCTGTTGCAAACTGCCATGTAATTTGGAATAAATCCACGGGGAGAGAATGGATGGGCAAATGATGTGATCCAGCTACAGTCTTCATTTCATACGGCACCACATTCTTGCTCTATATAAGATGATGCAATGCTCTTTGATCATCACACACTCATACAACATATCCTTTGCTTTTGTCATGGTGACCTGCCCTCCAGTCCAGTTTCTAGAAAGGATGATCATCTTTGTGTTGACAATGGCCATGTGTGCACAGTTTATCACTTTCACAAGTGCACTCACAGAAAAGAGGTCAGCTAAATACAGTGAAGGAGATCCCTTGTGAAAAATATCATAGGAGGATGTCAAGGCAGAATATAAGCTGTTCTTTGACATTTCATCTAAATGACACTTTGTTGTAGCTCGTCTTACTTGTTTCAATATAAGAATGGGAATATCCAAAGAAGAATGGATAGATGGCAACTTTGCAGCTTGTGGTTCTAAATCTAAAGACTGGTATTTACATTTCAATCCATAAATTCTGAATTATTTTCTATAAATTGGGGGGGAAAAAAAACAGAATAAACTGTGTAAACATCTCAGATTTCTTTGTGGTCACAAATTACATGTTCATGAAAATCCATGAGAATCCTGGAATCACACCTGAAAAGTGCTGAGCGTTTTCAGCTCCTGCTGAAGTCATACAGAACTCCAAAGCTGTGTGGTGAATACTGTCCTGGCCTGGCTAGGAAACAAGAGTTATTATCCATATTCAGCCTTCAGAACTCAGATCCAAATTATCCATTTGCTGAGAGCCAGCAGGGAATAGAAAAGATCCAATGTTTGTGCGCACAGCCGCTGAACAATGTGCTGTTTTAGGAGTCCTTAAATAATCATTGATTTCAAAAGTGTTACAGCCCATTGACTCAAAAATCAGCTGCTTATGAGGAGTCTCGCGTTCCTATCTGAGATCCTTGGCAATTGTACAAGAGTTATGCAGAACATACATTCCAAATGCAAGCTGCGTTTTGGACTTTATTGAAAGATCCTGTAGTCATCCTAATTTACCTAAGCACTTTTGTTATAAATGGCATGGAATTCTGAACCAGCTCATTCCGAATCAGCAAATCCCCAAAATAGCTCTTGGTTTTGTAAAATAAGTGAACGATGGGGCCATTTTCTGCTTCAGCTTCTATGTCAAGACCTCTGTGTGGTTTGCACTAATTAATAGGTCTGTCTTACCTGACAGTCCTCAGGGAAGGGTATTCCTCAGAGAAGATCAGTGATTCAGGAATCCCGAGAAGCACAAGTGATGTG